ATTAAAAAAAAAACAAAACTACCTTGATACATGTGTGTAAGGAGCTCAAAGGATAAAAGTATTTACTCAATTAGAAGACAAAACATTTCCTGCTTCCAAGAGCATGCACAAATCTCAACACAATGAGTGACTATGCAAGAACAGAAATGCAAGATTCCCCCATCTGAACAAGTTTTAGCAATCACCGAGTCCCAAGATTTGTACATCCATTTAGGAAAATCACTCTCTAATCTTGCAACAAATCATAAACAACTTGTCTGTTACACTCAACAGCCTCATTATCTTCAAAATATGTGCTGGGTAACACCAGTAGAATTGTTTTGTCTGTAATGAATTTCCATTGGTAAAACAGACTGAAACAGAGCAAACACTGCTGGTTTTATACCATATCTGGTCACATTATAGACCAGAACTAATTTCCAAAAGTCTAGGAATGAAACTTTAAACAGAACTATACCTTTATAGCAATAACAACTATATTACCTCCCAATGATATCAAAGTATTCTTTATGTTTTCTGGCTAGCCATAGCGATATAGGAAGACCAGATTCCATTACAAGTTCCTCCGTCAGACTGCACACCTGTTAGCAAGCTCAGCTGAATAAGCAATGCAATTTACTATACTACTTGGCTGTGTGTTGCTCAAGGTATAGATGACACTTTCAGTGCAAAATAATTACATGCAACTGAGCCCTTATTTATACACCTATCCTTACAATCATTAATAGACAATGTTAACTTAGCATCACTTCAGTAGTTTTATATTCTGCTTGTGCAGCTAAACATTACATAGGACCAAGGCAGTTGAAATGGTCAGAGTAAACCAGCAGAATGGTCCAAAACATCAAATATCTGGACTGAAACTGGGGAGCATATAAAACACTGGCATGGCTTTTTGCAACTAAAGTACAGACTAGATTCATTCTGCTTATCTATTAGCATATCAGTTTCAACCTGTACAGGAATATCAATTACTTTCCAAGGATAGCCCTCACCTTGTTGTTTCAAAAGTAAGGAGTGATAACAGCACATTTTGATTTTATCTTTCTCACAAAACCAGTCACATTTTAAAATAAGCACTAACCTTGCATCTCAGAGAAAAGGGCATTTATTTACCAGACTATTTTGAAGGTGTAAATTCAATTTAATAACAACAAGAGGTATATTAAATAACAAAGCTTTAGAAAATATATATAATTAGATGACAACATAGTCATTTAAGCGGGTATTTCTCTTGAATCTCTGCTAGGCTCCATGCTTGTCACCAAATTAGATGTTGTCCCATGGTATGCATTATAAATGAGGTAATTCATTTCATGAGGTTTATAACCAGTGACTGGAATTATAATCAACAATATCCATTAGTGTCTCCTAATATTTACAATATTTTGGAGCCTATTATGGTCTCATGCTTGTTTCATATGACAATAACTCCCCTGCCTTTTTACAGGCTCCCAGATTATGCTGAGGTAGGTTCGAATGCAGCCTCTAATCTTATACGAAACATTATAGGGCACAGATACGTTTTAAAGTACACACATGTCAGACTATTTGCATGCTACACGGCATCCCCTAACACCAGAAAAGTTTTGCCCTCCCCCTTTTTTTTTTTTTTTAAACAGGCTACCATCATTAAATTATTGCAATCCTGCTTAGCAAAAGATGCAGATCATTTACACCCTCAGCCCCCCAGAAACAGCAAAGGAATAAGACTATTTCTTTTCTTCTTCAAGTGCTGCAATACGTACAGCAATCCTGGCTTTCTTCTGTAAATCTGATTTTAAATAAAGGCATTTTCTTACATCTACCATTGAATCCTATCAAAAGTTTTGCTAGTTCTCTCAGCAGATGTTCCCACCTCCAACAGCTGTAATTATGTAAAATGCATCACATCAACCATAGGTGTCTGCATAAGCTTTCTACCATACACACCAGGTGCATTCTCTGTTTACATGTCAAAGATATAGTAAAATTATATCTAAAGTCACACAAAAGTAACGCGAGAACTTTGGCCTGCAGAAACTACAGAAACCTGGGGGAAACTACTTTCCCCTACAGAAACTTGGGGAAAAAACTGTCTTATATGCAACACATTCAGACATTGGGTTGAATCTAGAGTAACTGAAAAGCAGGATTTCTCATTCATAGGCAATGCCAGACTTCACAGGAGCAAGACTAAAATCTGGAAGCATTAAACACTCCACAAACAAGAGATGTAAAGAAACAGTCAGTTATATTGCCCAGTTAAAACATCCTGCACTCTGCAGAGCCTCAGTGAAATTAAGCCTTGTTCATTTTCCTTCTCTTCCTTAAACATCTGCTATTATATTAAATATTATTCTCAGTTTTCATGATCAACTATACAGACTCTCTATATCTACATCTTTCAATCAGCCCCATTAGGCATACTGTCCCAGAATTACTGACCTTGGGAACACTTCCCAGGTTTACGATTCCTCACATCCTGCCTCTGAGGCCCCTGGACCTCCAAGCTCTCTTCTACAGAGAAAAGGCCAAGCCTGTGTGAGAACGAATCTCATTTGGTTCCTGACATGAGAGCATAAAGCATGGAAATTCTAGTGGAGCTATCCAATCTGATAGCTCTGCAAAGTTTTACCATCCCTAAGGAAATTTGGCTAGCAGTTTTGCTGCACAGCAACAAGATCTGGAAACCTAACAAGCAGAGTGCCATAAGACTGATGATGCAAGGCTTTCAAGATCTTCAGCTCGAAAGCAGTTGACAATTCTGACCTTAGCACCACAACAGTTCATGTCAACCCTATCTGAGAGTCCACTGAACTGAAATCCCACCTATCTAAAAGTGTCGCAAAGAAAACATAAGAAAGTGACATTCTGACCACATCCAGTTTTGTCTGTTTAAATGTTTATCCACACTCAGCAGCATCTTGCCTCAGCATACTACTTTCTGCACATTGGTCCTTTGCTGAATAGAAGGGAGAAGGAAATAAATTGTTGCAAACAGGAAAAGGCTTCCTGACAAATAACCACAAATTGAGCTGAGCTACATGTACTTTGTTCAACTCGGCTCCAGTCAAAGTTATCAAGTGTAGGACTGACACAACTAGGAGGCCAAAGAACAACACTCAAATGTTATTTGGGGATTATAATAAATCCAATGTATGTCTCCCATTAAACTAACTGATAGCGACGCATATTCTTTCCAAGACTGCCAATGCAAAATGTTACTGTAGAAGCCGGAAGTGAAGGGAAGCATTCTAACCTCCAAAGAGTCCTTTGTCTTGATGGGATAAAAAATAGCCTCAAAATTAATGTCTAAAGCAACTTTGGTAATTTCAGTAATTGGCAGACCCTATAAATGCGATTCTACTATTGATAGGTGGAATTGAAAAGCCACCATAAGACTTACAGCCATAAGAACTACGTATAGGAGAAAGGACTGGCATTCTGGCAAAGGTATCTAACAAGCAACCACAAAGATCAGTAATGGAGTCCAAGTTATGCTGTGCAATAAAATAGCATTCAGAAGCCTCCCGTAAGTAAAACTGTAAACAGTGAACAGCTTTTAACTGTAGAAGAGCACTTTAAATTTAATTTACAAAACATCTTTTTCTTGTGAAATTCTTTTCAAAATACTCTTTGGCTGATTAAGACTCTTCCTCAAGTCCCATATGCAGAAAGTTAATTGAGAAGAGTTTACCTTCAGCTATTATGTAATATATCATACAGCATATAAGGGCCCAGGTAGCATTTTCAACCTTTCCATTAAATGTGAGTCTTTATTGGTCTCTCTTTCAGTGGGATGATTCTGCAAATAAGCTTGTGAATACCCACCTTTACTCACATGAATAGTTACAGCGAAGTCCTGCAAAAAGGTATGTCTTTTTAAACCATGCAGGGGAAATAGACTTACTACAGTCACCATATTTACTTGCCTTAAGTCTTCCAAATAAAAGACAAGGCTGTACTGAGATATACCTTTTATAAATACATTCAAAGAGCTGTTGCTTTGACCCAAGTCTCTCCCATACAGTTCCTACTACTTGCACATCCAAGTTCCTTGCACAGGGGTATCTTCATGATGCATGGAAGCAGCACTGTTCCCTCTCCACATGGCAGACTGAGAAGAGCTTTTCAAGTGGTGGATCACAGCTGCAATCTTTGCCAGATACTCACTTTCCTCTGCAAAGAAGCTCCTTTTGTTTTCCACAGCATCAGGAAAGAGCTTACCATAAATAGCAGTTCTTAAACTGGAGTGCCTTGTGCATTCCCTCTTTCAAACACTCAGGTCACTTGCCTCTCACTATTTATGTATGCCCAGAAAATGCGTGTTTCTGATTTTATTAGCTCATGTGCAGGGTCCAGAGTTCATCAGCAGGGGCAGGGTAAACCATACATTTTTAAATGAAGGACTAAGCACTAATTCTACTCACCAGAATCAAAAGCAAAAAAGAAATCTTCATTGATTTCACTGTGTTACTACCAGATTACACCCTTTCATTCTATCATCTGCCTCCTGCACCTAGAACTCTGCCAATCACTTCTGGTAGCACCTCTATAAAGTTGTAAGGGCTGAAGAGACTTTTCTGCTAATTGTTACCATAATCTGAACTTGGAATAACCAAAAATAATGGAATACCCATAAAATTACTATAGGGTAAATACCACGCTGATAATTACAGTGCCTCCTCACAAGAAGATTTAACTTCCTAGAAAATATCTAGCATAACACAAAAATCATAGACATTTCAAAGCCTAAGTAAACACCAAAACAGTTATAAAAGATATATGTTCCATTACTTATCAGCTACTATGAAACATATTTGCAAAACTTAGCTTTTTAAACCTAGGTATACGGAATGCAGAATTAAGAGGTGGCTTACATATCAAATACTGCCAACTGTAAAGGAATATTTTTTAGAAACACAATAAAGGAAAGTTTAACGATGGCCCTTAAACATATTCTTTGTTACAACAGAAAATGGTGTGCTACATTATTAAAAAACAAATTTATTATTTACCTTCTTTTTCATTCAATTCAAAGCTAAAGTATCCAAAACACTTGCTATTCTGCTGCTGTAGTACTGAGGACTCCTATTTGTACATAAAGGTACAAACCCCACAAGTTTTGCTCAGCTACTGGTGAGATAAACCTTTAATTGAACAGAACTGCTGTTGCTGTAAGAAAAGCAGAATCCACCCCAAAAAGTAATAGAAATTAAAAGAGAACTAATTAAAGGAGACAACAGAGAAGGGAATCACAAAGGCGCTTAAAACATTGGTTTGCCCTTCACTGTGTTTGGTGAACTGAGTTGCAAAGGTTTTTAATGAGGATTGATGACCAGCTGGGGTTAATGGCCCTCAGCTGCACCTCAGGCCATTAACTCCTCCCTATCAGTTATTAATCCCCAGGAAATACCCTGTACCTCTCCCTTTATTGCTTAATCATAAGTAGCAAGAGATGATCAACCAGTCAAGATCCTGGCATGGTGTGTGGCAATGTTCCTGCCTCTTCACACAGCATGTTTTATGCTGTAAAACAAACTATTTAGATATTACCACATTGAGGTCACAAAAGGATGAAGAAACACATGTGAACAGAGAGAAAATAAACATTTTGTCTGGTGACTGCATTTCATGTTTCTTCCTTAGAACAAAGAGAAAATTTATAGCTTGTACACTGTGCAATTATACAAATCTCCTTGCAGTCCCACTGCTATTATACTACTGGGGGCTCTTTTCTTTGCAGTTCTAGACCATATAATGGAGCTAGTGTTCTTACTAGTGCTGGTTTTAAAGCAAGAACGTACCAAGCAGATGTTGTAACATACCACCTGAGAAGTAAAAGCACAATAGTCAGCCTAAGGCATTGCACCAAACAGGCATAGAATCATAGAATAGTTAGGCTTGGAAAGGACCTGAAGATCATCTAGTTCCAGCCCCCTTGCCATGGGCAGGGACACCTCACACTAAACCATGTCACCCAAGGCTTCGTCCAACCTGGCCTTGAACGCTGCCAGGGATGGAGCATTCACAGCCTCCCTGGGCAACCCATTCCAGTGCCTCACCACCCTCATGGTAAAGAACTTCTTCCTTATATCTCACTTAAATCTTCCCTGTTTTAATTTAAGCCCGTTACTCCTTGTCCTGTCGCTACAGTCCCTGATGAAGAGTGCCTCTCCAGCATCCCTATAGGCCCCCTTCAGATACTGGAAGGCTGCTATGAGGTCTCCACGCAGCCTTCTCTTCTCCAGGCTGAACAGCCCCAACTTCCTCAGCCTGTCTTCATACAGGAGGTGCTCCAGTCCCCTGATCATCCTCGTGGCCCTTCTCTGGACTTGTTCCAACAGTTCCATGTCCTTTTTATGTTGAGGACACCAGAACTGCACACAATACTCCAAGTGAGGTCTCACGAGAGCAGAGCAGAGGGGCAGGATCACCTCCTTCGACCTGCTGGTCATGCTCCTTTTGATGTAGCCCAGGATACGGTTGGCTTTCTGGGCTGCGAGTGCACACTGAAGCCGGCTCATGTTCTTTTTCTCACCAACCAACACCCCCAAGTCCTTCTCCACAGGGCTGCTTTAAATCTCTTTTCTGCCCAACCTGTAGCTGTGCCTGGGATTGCTCCAACCCAGGTGTAGGACCTTGCACTTGGCATGGTTAAACTTCATGAGGTTGGCATCAGCCCACCTCACAAGCATGTCCAGGTCCCTCTGGATGGCATTCCTTCCCTCCAGCGTTATCAACCGAACCACACAGCTTGGTGTCATCGGCAAACTTGCTGTGGGCGCACTCAATCCCACTGTCCATGTCCCAACACCGATCCCTGAGGAACACCACTCATTACTGGCCTCCAGCTGGACACTGAGCCATTGACCACAACTCTTTGTGTGTGGCCATCCAGCCAGTTCTTTATCCACCGCATGGTCTACCTATCAGATTGATGTCTGTCCAGTTAGAGACAAAGACGTCATGTGGGACAGTGTTGAATACTTTGCACAAGTCCAGGTAGATGACATCAAGTTCTCTACCCCTGTCCATCAGTTCTGTAGCCCCATCATAGAAGGCCACCAAATTGGTCAGGCAGGATTTCCCCTTAGTGAAGCCATGCTGGCTGTCACCAAGCACCTTGTTGATTTTCATGTGCCTTAGCATGCCTTCCAGGAGAATCTGCTCCAAGATTTTGCCAGGCACAGAGGTGAGACTGACTGGTCTGTAATTCCCTGGGTCATCCATTTTCCCCTTCTTGAAAATGGGGGTTATATTTCCCTTTTTCCAGTCTTTGGGAATTTCACCCAACTGCCATGATTTTTCAAATATGATGGACAGTGGCTTAGCAACTTCATTTGCCAGCTCCTTCAGGACCCACGGATGGATTTCATCAGGTATGCGGTAGCCTAGAACAACAGGGCTGGAACTCTGTGCTTCCCTTGGAAAGAACAGAGCTCAAAGGAGAGGAAGCCCACCTCTACCCCGATTTTTTTCCCCCACCTTAGCAAACCATCTGGTTTGGCCCAGTCTCATTCCCATATGTTAGCAGAGGATGAACAGAGAGTGTATGCATGCAGTTAATATAAGAGTAAGAACACAAGCTTTATATTTTAATTTTGTCGCAGAAAAAGACTGTACTGGAACTTGGTTTGGCTGAAGGGAAACGGCATTACTATTATGATGCAACAGCCTATGGACAAAATTTATGTCACCTTTCTTGAATATTTCCACTTTGGAATCAAAATTTCTGCAAATATGACCGTTGATTAGGATTTGTAAGTAACATACTTTATAATTCACAACTACTGAGTTCACCCACTCTGAAAGATACACAAATACACTAATAAGTGATCTGAAGATCATCTGTCTTGACTGCATCTTCAGTGAGTAACCCTCCATCCTCTTGTAATGTCATTTTAGGTCAGTCTCCCACGAATAGCATAAAGGGATTACTTTTCCATTTGATTCTTTCCCTTTCCAGTATATTTGGACTGCCATGTCACGAGCCTTGTGGGGCACTGACATCTTTTAAAAGGCTCAATAAATTATGTTCTCATGTCTTTGTGGAAAAATAAAAATAAATAATTAAAAAAATCATAACTTCCATCACATGAACAGTCCCACTTATTTCAATGGGAACATCAGTGTCAATTAATGCTTGTAAAATTCTAGTCTTTATGAGAAAGACAATACCTCAATACCTCAATTCCAAAAGCTGCGAGACATTGATTACTATCATTCCCTTTAAAGGGAATAAGATCACATTGAGCTTCAGACCAAAATATGGATCCTTTCAGGTCACATTTACCAATGATCCATGGTGATACAAATTAAATCAATTACATCTTTTATTTGTATACAAATCATAAGTTAAATGAATGTTCTGCTGCCCTAGTTAAATGTAATTATCTATAAACACAGACAACACTTCTTGTGCTCCTTCTTCTGACAATGTCATATTTTTCTTAGTTACAGGCAGGACATATTTTGAACATTCAGTAGAATAACCCCATTTAGAAAGTTAGATCTAAAAATCAACATTTGCTCAATGAAAGCTCTCCCAAGAGCTGGGTGCTGTCAAAACTAGCAGAAGGATCGAGAAAAAGGTTCTAAAAAGAGGTAGCATATTTAATTTCAGAACAGCTTGTTTAGGTCCTTACACCACCTCAGCTGTAACAACATTTTCATCAACTTCAATAGGCTTTGGATCAGGCTCTGAGTTGGAATGGAAGTTGATGATAACAGTAGGAGTGCACTGACTGATGCCAACAGGCTTTCAATTGGTCCATTATTATGAAAGCTGTTTACAAAGAACGAGTAAGTAATCCACGCTGTGCTATATACACTACCTCTCTACTCAGAATAATTAATCTAGTGTGGCTTACTGACTCACTGTTCTTACCATTTCCACTGCCACTCGATGTCTTTGTGAACATTTTCTAAAGCATATTTTAAAACCTTCTTAAATTTGAAAAGCCAGAGTTTTTATGGGGTTTATAAAAGAAAAATATACAGTGGGACCACTCTTCCTCCTACACTAGTTTCTTTTAACCTAAGAGCCATGATAATCCCAATGAAACATCTCTACATCAACTGCTCATGTTTTACAGAATGTTTTTTCCTAATTAATGGAATCATATACATCATAGTGACATTTATTAAATTTTGTTAATTATTAGGTACATTCTCACACATAAGATTCTAAAGATTTGTTTAATGTCAAATCTATATATGGTAGACAATTAAATCATTATATTCATTAAAGTTACTCTTAATTCCTCTGGCAGTAGGAAATGGAATTATAAATACATGTTTCAGTTCACTTCAATACTAAAAGAACACGTTGCAAGCAGCAACGAGTGTACATTTTTAAGGATCACTTGTGAAATGTGCTGGATTTGTAATATCAGATTATTCACAGAATCTGTGAAGAAACACAGAACCCTTCTGTTCCTATAAAAGATTTACAGAATATAAGAGACTCCTACCTACCTAGATATTGTACTTGCCTCTTAGAATGGGGATTAAATAAGTAGTTATATCCACCTTAGCTTTTAAACTACGTTTTTTGTGAAATATGTACTTCAACTCAACTGATCATCAGAATGGGCTTTCGCAGAGACTGATGACTAAAATGCCTTAGTTTATATGTTTTGTAATACTGGTTCACAGTGGTCTCTCCTGTCCTTAAAGAAGATAAATATATGGTAATCAGAAACAACTGCAAATGGTCTTTCAGAAACATTTCTCAAGGGGGGTTTGGTCACTAGGATTCATAATTCACAAAGCAGACAGCCTAGGGATTCAAGTTAGCAGCTGAGAGAGAATAAGTCCTAGACGATAAGTCTGCTTGTAGTTCTTAGGAAAAGATGAACACTAGGCCAGTTCAGCCCGCTGAAGATATTCAGATGTGTATATGAGAGAACAATTCCTAACTCCCAGTTTCTGATGCTGCCTTACCCCATGTTCCATCTCTGTATCAGGTCAAAATCAGGCACACAACATCTCCTCTCTTATTCTGCCCTGATTACAACCGGAAGGAAACCTGACCTTCTTAGCCAGAGAGGTACCACAATGAGCTCCAACTAGATTCCAAATTTGCACAAATCAATCATATGGTTTGGACACGCACCACACCACATCCTCAGAGGTTGGTCAGATGCAGCCTTTGTCCTTAAAAGTACAGCTTATAGATAACAAACTTCTAAATTAGATCCCTTAGGCAAATGCTTGCAACTGACTGGGATGAATTCAGACTTAACAGCTACTTTAATATAGTTCCTTATTAATAA